CAGCAGAGGGTGACTCCTGCCCCTTGCCAGCAGAGCAGGAAGAGGAAAGGCCCTGCTGTACTGGGCTCCCCAGGGTTTCCCTGAGCAGGCTCTGAGGAAACATCAGGCCAAACGTGTCAGGATAAGACATCCACATACAGTAATTCTTGTTTTCTACCCTGTAGCTCTGAGTTTAAATTCAGCAGTGTGTGCAGATGAGCCCTTTCTTTAATAATCTGTCCATTTGAAGGCTGCAGCACAGTTGAGACAATTTCTGGGAACATCCAGTCAGGATTGAATATATCGAACAAAAAGAGCAGTTCCCCTCCTTGCTTGTGCTCTGCTGCAGGCAGGGGTGAGGTGGTGATCAGGACTGCCTGTCAGAGGGGAAGTTAATTTGTTCATGCTACTCAAAACCAAATGTGGAAATTTTTAAAATTGGTGCTATTTATAGTCAAGTTAATTAATTTCTCACCAAAGAAATTATGAAACTGCAGTGACTGTAGATTTTGGGTTGTGTTGGTTTCGATATTTATATAATTGTTTATAAATATTTAGATGTGTGTTTGGTCAGGACTTAACAAGATGGAGATTCTGGGCTATGACTAAGGTGCCTGTTTACTGCTGTAATACAAATACTGGTGCAGGGGTTATGTTGTGGGGGCATGTGCAGTTGGACAGTGGGGACTCACTGTAATTGGTGATTGCTAAGGAAGGTGTTTCCTTGCCAAACGTTTCCTAGGAAGGGAATTAATATATGTGTAGTGATTGATAAAATATAATTCTGCTTGGTGCAACCTCATCTGTAACTTGACATTGCTTTTGGTGGAAGTATTTGTGAGAATCTACAAAGTGTAAGTGATAAGAGATTCAATTAAATTATTACATTTCTAATGTACACGTTAACAGGGCAGGAAGAAACTTCGATTGTGGTTCCAATTTCATCCCATCTTCTTAATTGTATGTGCAGTAACACCACACCTTGACATTTGCAAGGTGGCATCAGATCACCCCGAGTTTGAAATGTGATTCCTAGCCCATGATTATGTAAAATTAAACTGCTGCATAAGTACACAGGGAATTTGCAGGACAACCCTTGCATCAAGAGGCAAGCAATTAACAACTTTGTGACTGGTTTCTAATTTATTTTTAAAATAACATAGGAGTAAGAAATAGTATTGTGTAGGCATATGTTTTGGTTTGTTGAATCTATTTCTGGATACTATTTTTGGCATTTCCGTCAGCTGCATAGTAGCAGACTTAACAAAAAGGTATACTATAAATCACTCTGGGTGTTAGAGCTGACAGCTTTAAATAAATACAGCTGACAGCTCAAATAGCTGCTCCATTGACAGTATGTGGTCTAAATGTGTTAACAAATGCGTAGACTCAGCAGTTTGGGATTAGTTTAGCAAATAAATTACAAAATAATGCTGTGATCCAGCAAAAAGCACAATGCCTGTGTATCCCTGGTCTGCAGGCTTTGTTAACACTGTCCCAGGCCTTTGAAGCTCTCTGTGAAAACACAACCCTGCAGCTGGAGCAGGGCTCCTGCTAAGACAGCACTCACCTCCCCCAGATTCCTTCTCAGTGTGGTGTCAGGGAGTGTGAGCAACAATGTGAGTGTCGTGGTGAGTAAAGATGGTTTAATAACGGATGTATTTGCTTTGCGGGCCAGGGATTTCATAAAGGAGATGGTCACCTTACACTAGCTTGGGTTATGATTAAGGACACAAAGTTACTGAGCAGCAATAAAAAACCGCTTTCATGCAAAACTCGAGATATTTAAATGTTTTGGTTTGTTTAATGTGTTGTTACCACAACACATAACATAATACTAGTGAAAGAAAAGCTGGGAAGAGAGGATCATGAAGGGGCTAGACTGTTAAAAGGATTTCAGTTCTGAAGATTAATTATACTAATAAGTTAATTATTTCCCTGACGATCACCACAAGAAATGAGAATTATGTGAAGAATGATGTCATAGTTTGACATATTTAAGGTATGGCATTTTTTGTGCTTAGAGGTTGAATAAAGCTACTGTTTATTCTTTTATATTTTAATTGTAACTATTCACAGACAGGATAGCATGGCACAGAGTATTATAGAGTACATAATGTGACCGTGGAATGGAACTCTCAAGACCTGTATTTTAATGTAATCACAAGTATTCTGGTGTTTTCCAAAAAGGTATTTTTATAGTAGTCGTGTCTAGTGAGTCATTTCAGTGTGCAGTGTACAAGTGATAATTCTGATAACTAGTTGCAACTTCTGTTGCCATCTCTAAGGGTGATTGTCAGTGGTGGCTGATTTCTGACTGCTGCCTTTCATGTCAAATCGTCGTGCTGATTGCAGCAGTCTGATGCAGTCCTTATTTCCATCCTGCTCATTAAAAATATGCTTATACCCATATCTGTGTGTTAAATGGGGGTTAAATATGGTCAACATCTTTAGTTTTTCCTTCCTTGTCAGTCAATAAAACCCTGCCCAGGAGCTCTCTCAATTGCAAGTGCCTACTTGAAGCAGTTGGAATTCTACACGCCATGTCTCCAGAAGGAGTATTTTGGTTTAGGCCAGAGAGCAGACAAGTATCTTTGTCAGTGAGTAAATCCAGTTTTTTATCACTATCACATGTGTTATAAAAGCATTCCAAAGTATCATCTAGTGTTTCAAGGATCCCAGGGAAGGAATAAGTTGTTTTAACTTTACAAGTTTCTTCCACTTCAGAAATCCTACAAGTCAGCAAGTGTTTCTTTACTTAAAATGTTCTCCCACAAAGAGCAGTAATCTACTGGGGTAGGTGCTGTACTATTGAGGTTTTTTAAGGTACTTTTCTTCCTGATGGAAATGCGTGGAAAGAGTCTTTAACTGCAGTGTTTTGGATGTCAGAGAGATCTCAGAATATCTCAAGTAGAGTAAGTTTATTTTTTTCTGTTTGGTGCTGTAGTGCAAAACTTTTATACAGTAATAAGTTATAAATGAATAATTGAGACATGTTTTGGATTAGTAATGAACAACAACGTTTTTCTGAAGCCTTTACATACAATTTAGTTAAAATTTCATGTCAGGCCAAGAAGTGGTTCCTTTTTGTTTGTTGCCTCTTGGTTGAACCTGAGTACATTTTGTAGTACAGATGTTTTACAGGAACTTCAGATGCAGACAGCTGAGGTATATTCTTCTTCCTGGGGAATGAAGGAGATTCTGATTTTGCTCACAAATTTGTTGAGAGCCAGGGCACTGCAGGAATACTCTGTCTACCTGTGCCAGTGACCTGCTCCAGTGTGTTACATCTTAATGGAGAGTAACAGAATTTGTGCTTTGCCTCTGGGTTTCTTTGTTGAGGTTCATGGTGCAAAGGCCGAGACGTTGAGGGGAACTAGAGTTCAGAGTGTAACAGCACCTGGAAAATTCTTTATTTCACATGCATTTACCTGCCTGATACAACGTGATTAGTCAAGGTCAGGACACCTAATTGTCAGCGAAATGGAGAGCACTTTGTTTGTTACTTACATGTGAACTACTCCAAGACCCTTCTGTCATCAGACTGATTTCATTGCCAAGAACACACTTTATTTCTTGTGGCTGTCCTGTGACATCCACCCTATGCTATGAGAATCACTGTGGGTCAGTTCCTCATGGTCAGACCCTTGGCTTGTAAATCTGAGTAGCTCTATTTAAGTCACTGATACTCTAGAAATTTATGCCTGCTGAGTGTATTTCATAATATTAAAAAACAGTCTTAAAATTCAATTGTAATTTTTTATCAGTTTGTGTGAATTTTGCACAGTAAGAGAAAAGATGTGAGTGCCAGGTGAAATTCTTGCCTGCACTGAGTCTACTAACTTACAAACAACTTGTGTGGCAAATTAAACTGCTCAAAAACATTTTGAAATTGGACAAAAAATCTGTTTTCACTTGTCAGCTGTTAAGAATTGTGGAATAATAGATATGCATTTTTTCAAAAGGCAGTAGGTATTTCTTGGCTGGCTCACCAATACTTGGCTCCCAAAAGAATAAAGAGCTGCAGAGAGCACATAGAGGAGTCCTGAGGGAGGAATCCTTATGGAATTTGTGTTGGTGTAGTTGTGTAGGGTGCCTTGGAGAACGGCATTGCATGAACTTTTCTTCATGCTGAGTGAAGGAGAATTTTAATATATTCGACTGCTTTTGCTTTGATGATGAACATGTTTGAAAGCCAACAGAAAATTTTTAATTACTCTTTTGTTAGGTTTGCAAAACACAGGCTGGAAGAGAGCAAAGGGCCCAGCATATCAAAGCATCAGCATCCCCAGAGATGGTTGTGTTTGTGAAGGACATTTTTAATATATCAGTCATAGCCTAGAAATACCAGGCAGAGGACATTGGAGCTTTCTTAACATTCATTTGTTACAATTTCTTCCTCCACGCTTTTAGTCCTCTCTCTTGAGAAAACTAGAAAACACCACCAAGAAGATATCTTTTGCTTCCCCTCTGCTTCTTAGAACCTCACAGTTGTCTGAAACCTCAAGTCCACGTGGCTTTCCTTTTAATTCTTTCTGCAGGAAAGCATGTGGGTTTTACTTTCCTCATCTATTAATTGGCTAATGCAAAAGAGTGGTTTGAAACTGCAAATATCTCATTCAGAAGCCACTTTTTAATCAAAAACGTGTGACTACTCTTCACTTGGAAGTCAGTGAGAGATTTTATCCTCACCTACCTCACAACTGCATCTGAGCTCCTAGTCTTTGGTGGACATCCGAGTGTTCTGGGAATTTAGGCTTAATCTAGGAGGAACTCTCACCAATTTCAAAAGATATCCCATATAAAAAGATCTGATAAGACCAAGATCTTGGAGTGATGAACACTTTTAGTTTAAGAATTCACATTTCAGTTTAGGAGACAGAAAAACAGACACAAGCTACAGTATATGATTAATTTTTATTGGGTATTTTTAAGGGAAGTGTCTGCTAAATAGAGTTTAGAACATGGTGAGTGGTCCACACAATGAAAAAAATCAGTAATCAGTGTTTCATTTTGTTACTAAGGCGATGAACAAATAACAGACACTGTCAAGATAAACAAGGGACTTCTGATTTTCAGGGATTTGGAGTGTCTCGTGCAGATTCATCCCAATTCTATCTTGTTTGGTCCTTTTGAATCTCTAAGCCTGCACCATTTCCTGGAATTCTGTGAAAGATAAGAGATTATTTACAGTGGAAATACTAATATGAAAGGATTAGGAGGAAAAGATTAGTAACATGTCAAGAGATTTAGAATAGGAATGAACAGAAGACAGTTTCCTGATAGATGACCAGAGAAGAGAGGCATTGCCTAAACATCCTCTTCTAAACAGCAGATGGAAAGGCAGTGTTTTGCTGACACTTACAGGGGGTAATAAAATATTCAGGGTAGTTTCAGCCTTCTCTCTGCATAATACTAATCCTAGGCAAAAATACTGGAATGGCTTATGTAGAATTTGAGTAAGAAGTAGCTAAGAGCCGAACTAAAAAAAATGAAAAGTGAGTCTGTGTGTTTTATTAGCTGTTTGTAACACTTCCATAGTTGAGAAGTGTTGATTTAGAGCACTGTCTAAAGCCAAAAAATTGTGCAGTTCCATGTGGTATGATCCTGGAGGATTGTGTTGTGCAATAAGATACTGTTATTGAAAAGTCTTTTAAATGTTTGGCTTCAGTGAATTAGTGTCTGATCAGTCCTGTCCTGAATGACTATATTAGTATATGGATTGCTTCATAAATCATGTGTGTTTATTCTGGCATAGTTCCTAAGGAACTGGATTTAATTCCTTCCAAAGAAAGAAACAGAAGAGCTCTGTCCTGCTGGTGCAGTGAGCTGGGGAATCTGCCTGCCAGCACATTCCCTGCGTGCTATTCCCTAAGCCTCTTTCATGCTGGCCTGGGCACTTGCTGCTCTGACAGGGCAGTGCCATTGGCTGCCAGCCTTTTGTGTGAGTGTGCTTCGTGTTCAAAATAGGGCTCAGAAATAGGGAGTGAGGAGATCAGGAGGTTTCTGCACTGAGCAGCCATTAAATCCCACCAGCATTTGCAGTGGTGAGTGCAACCTGCTGCTTCCTAGAACAGCTGCTCCTTCCTGTCGGGTCCCTACCCTGCCACTGAAGACAAATAGCATCCAACAGATCCTGCTGGGGGATCTTGTCTTGGAGTAGTGACACTTGATCATTCTGTTCTCCTTATTATGCAAAACAAATAAGGAACTATGTGCTGCTGGCTCCTGCTTATTGGAAATGTCAGTCAGTGACTAGTGGAATTTCTGTTGGGAAATCGCTGCTGTAAACGAGCTGCTGTGTGTGCTGTTGGTTCCTCTGGGCACAGCTGGGTCTTTGTTCTTGATGTTGCATTTGTGTGTTACAAGTGGTACCAGTGCTGCCTTACATCAGTCAGTGGGAGGAGAAATAAGGGGCAGTTCCCTTCAGAACAGCTGGAAATTTGAGAGTGAGTAGCAACAGGAAAGTTCCTCAGGTTTTTTTGACTTGTTTGTGCCAAAGGAGTTGCAGATATGAACCTGTAAGATCAGGGACCATTTCCACCTTTAAAAGGTTCCTCCTGCAAGGGTTTCAGTAAAATCACTGGAGGTGCATTAATGTACTATCAACATAAAAGAGAATCACACATCATTACAACACACCCCGAGAAACCTCGTTCTGCATTTGAACAATACCTTCAGCCCCAATTTTCCCGTCCCCGTCGTGATCTGCAGCTGCCAGGAAGGTCTTGGTTTCTGAGGTGGTTAACACTCTGGCTCCACACTCAAACCTCTGAAGGAAATACCTTGAAAGAAAACAACTTTGGTTTAGATTTTCACACAATATTATTTTTCTATGCTTGTTGTATAATCAAACTGATAACTATCTCTAAAATCATTCACCACAATAGCCAAGTCCTTCAAACACTACTTTGTTTGATAAGCTAAATCTTAGTTGTATATATTCCTGCTTTGTAAGTCCAACCCTGATACAATTGATTCTGCTATCAAAATCCAGCCCCAGGGAGTTATTTTTTTCTATACTAAGCATCAAAGGCAGGTATTACTAATTTGTTTTTCTCTGTAGGGATTATCTATTTAAATACAAATTTCACAATCTGCTGAAGGTTTTATCAACATTTAGCATAACTTATGTTCACATTTGCAGAACAGTTCTGGAAAGTAAAAAGTGCTGATAGCTTGATAACATCTAAATAGTTAATAAAATCCTTACTTGAGCTCATCTTCCTCAATATAGCCACTTTGGTCGTTGTCGAGAATCCGGAAGATCTCCTTGAGCTGGCTGCTACTCTTTTTAGACATCCCACTGATCTGAAAGAATTTTTTGGGACTAAAGGAATCTGGAGCTGAAAATAAATTAATAAAAAAATTAACCCCAGACCACTTTGTTCACTGTTCCTAAATGGTCTGAGGGAGCTGCTTTGTTACGTTATAGTCGTTCTAAGCATGAACAGTAGGTGAAGCCTGTTAAGAAGAGAATGAATTTGCCCTACTGGCCCATACCCTCCTAAACATCAAACCAAATCACGTGGGGATAAGCTGCAAAATGCCCAGATAAACCAGTTATGAACAAACATTCTGTGACAGCTGAGTAAAGAGGTCATGGAAATCAGTTTAAAGTATGCACTTGTTCAGTGTTCCTTCAGGCCCGAGCCAAACTTGCCCTGTGTTACCCAAAATAATCCATTCGGAGGGTTTGAATTGTTTCCTCACCTTGGCAGTCCCGCAGAGCAGCAGCAATATCCGAAGGGCTTAGAAGGTCTGTGAGGCTCATTTTAAACCTGTGCAGAAGAGTATATTGCATACAGAGTTGTGAAATGCAAATGCGTCTTACCAAAAAATTGGTTTTCTTGTGTTTCGAAGAATACTATAAGGATAACAAGGCTTCTATGAGTAGATTAATCTACTTGATCAAACCAGCATCTCTGCTATTCCTAAACAAAGGACAAGATTTAGTACACTACTGCCTTAAAAAAATTCAGTGCTGAAATAATGATCTTTAATGAAATGCTTTATATAAATCATGTTGTGAGTTGATTACCAATTTTTTATCATTTACCTTCAACCTATTAAAGTACAGCACATTTTTAAACTCTGTGTAACTATTAATTTAATAATTAGCCTTACTGGAATGCATGACATCTGGCAACACAAATAACAGTAGATGCAGTGGGAAAAGGAAAGGCAAGAAAGTTTGCTTCTATTGTCTCCCCCAACAGCTCTGAAGAATAAAAAGAAAACTGATACTTATCTATATAAGGTCCATCCATATGTAATTTCAGCAATTAAAAGAAAAAATCTTAGAACAATGGTTATTGTACTTACTACTGGTGCAGCTCTGCACAGTAATTTCATTTAATTATTCTCAAGTCAGCAGCTCACCTTTAGAGTTTTCTCAGCTAAGTAAAGGAAAAAAAGCTGAGGAGACACCAGGCAAAATAGTAATGTTGGCTCTACTTGCTACTCTGTCTTATAAAGGATTCAAAAGGTGACAATAACCACTGCTTAGGTTACACTTTCATGGATCAGATGTTTGAATTGAGACCTGGCTCAAATTTCTTCCTTAACTAATTAAACTTTTCTTTCTATTTATATCCTAAGATAATATGGACAAGAAGAACATTTTATTTTAATAAATCCCCTATTGTTTAATTAAGTACAACTCTGCCATCAAAACATCCTTTCATTCTCCAAGTATGTTAACAGGTAACCTCTGCACCTGAAAGTCTCTCCTCAGAGGAGACTCCAGCAGTCAAATCCTTATGAAAAGAAATGACTTTGTTTTCCCTGAGTCTGTTGATCCTTTGGAATGTGTAGAGGAGGTTGGAGATGAAAGATCAGAGGTGACAATCTGTCATTCTGACAAAGATGACTTGTCACCAAGATAGAGGAAAGCAAGCCCTAATTTGGGTGATCTTTCTACAGTAAGATTCATTTCATACTTCCTGACCATGTTCTAAATTACAGAAACAGAAACCAAAGCCTTCAGTGACACAAAACTTTGAACTAGGTAAAGCTGAATAAGTTGACCTTGTTGTGAGTATTCCTTGGAAGATTATTATTATGATCAGGTGGCCTATGTAATAATCTATTTTGAATATTTTAAATTACATTAAATCAATAATAGACTATTGCTATAAAATAATAGTTGTAGTGAGTTGTAGGAATCAGACTTTGTCAGTGTGGAGATGAACTTATATACATCTTATAACACACACTCTCACAATCTATTTCCTTAATATGACATTTGAATTGGAGGTATAAATAAGTAGTGGTTTATTATATATTTCGAGAGCATTAATTTTGGAACAAAAAACAGTAAGAAAATTGAAAATAGCAGATATGAGGTTTTTCTTCTCAGACAAAAGTCTATTTCCAGCTTTAAGCAACTTTATGTGGACAAAATTCTAGGATGTAGGCCAATAAAACTCACATGTATTTTGGTTAGAGTTTATTGTGTGACAGCCTATTATGGTATATAAAGTAACGTTCTCTTACTAGCTGAGCATTGCTTTATTTTTCATTAATGGGAATAGCATGGTCTGCCAAACAAGTAATATTTTTTTATAGTAGCAACAGTTACAAATTATACTGTGGACTAGAGCAGTAATATATTTAAACCCTGGTGTAAGTGAATGGACTGCAGTGAGTTTACTCCTGCTTGGTTTAATGGCAGTGACAGAAGTGTCAGTCACAGCAATTGTTCCACAGCACTGCTTGGGTTTGGATAGAGAAAAAAAGGTATCAGGAGCACAAAAAGCAGACACAATGTAATGATACTTTTACCCTTTTTGCTACATCTTTTGTAAGCAAGAGGAAGTGGCTTAAACCACAAATAATCAGGCTTGCCTTTGGTCCCAAATACCAGCATCTGGTAAGGAAATGATGCTCCCTTCTATTGCTCCCAGTAGGAAAACTGCTTGTGGTAAACTGGAAGAACCCTTTCCTGTTACACCTAAGGACCCTGGGCTATTGCACATCACTATTGCCTGACTAAAACAAATTAAACAATGCTGATTTGTAAAAGCTGAAGATCTGATCTCAGACCTTTGGGTGTTCTTTCCATTTACCATCTTCATTCATGAGCACTATATACTCATGTTGCTTTCTGGCTGAGATTTCCATGATATTATGGTCTATCAGGCAGTGGCAGTGATAGATCTTTCTCCAAATGATCCTGAAATAACTTTCATCCTCGTAGGTACCTTTTTCCAGCCTGTATGAGTTTTCTCCTTTATGTTCATCTCAAGTTGACACGAGTTTGAACAGAATGGTTGTTTTACTGATTCCTCTTGTCATTTTTACTGCCAACATGCTTCTAGAGAAAAGGGGTTTATTTTATACCTCTGTGATAGTGCTTTATAGGAGACTTCCTTTATTTCTGCTGGCTCCTACACAGTGATCATGGAAGTACTTGCTTTGTTTGAATGTTTGACTTGCCATCCAACACTAATTAGTGAAGGAGAGAATGAGGAAATTGAAATGAAGTAGAGAAAAATGACAAGATCAAGGTGAGCATGTAATACTCAAGCTCAAAATATGCCTGCAACTAATTCAGGCACTGCATTAAAATATAAGCACATATGTTCAAGGAATGGCACGTGGTTACCTCATACACTGCCATGGCACACAGGGGCCTGAGCTGTTCTTGCATTCCACAGGAGTAAAGTGGCCAGAATTAGTGTTATGTTAAAATATGGTCTCAACTAAAAGTCAGCTAATTGCTGTTATTGCTTACGAAGGGATCTTTGAATGTTTGAAATTCAACACTGACAACAAAAGTGATGCTAATCCTGGCTGAAAGATGGTTTACAAAAGCCTAAAAGAGCTGAATTTCAGAATCAAGTTGATGTCACTGTATATTGATACAGGTGGGAATCTAGGGTTACTGGGTTTTATTTATTTATTAATGACACTTCATCTGAAGTACAGGGTTCCCTCCACTACAATTAGAATGCAATAATCAGGGATTAGTATATTAAGGGATGTTTTAATGAGATAATTTATTTTACAGCTAAATTGTCTGCTTTTCTTATTTCTGGAGTATGTGTTAACCTGGGTGATTGTAGTTATTTTATGTATTCAAAAAGTGGGATCTATAAAAGTGATTTTTTTAAAAGATGTTATGCAAATGAAACGCTATAAAGAACATCTCTAGTAATAAATTCCCTAATACTGCTAGATAACGGGCAGTTAACAGAAGTGCAAAATCTGACACAGAATCCAAGCATTGTACAGTTTCCAGGAATGTTTAGCACTTGTTCCTATGAAAATCAAGAAAAAAATATTAATTTTTCTTTGAGTTTGTTTATTTGTTTTGGGGTTTTTTTGCTCTACAAGGGACATCTGAAAGCTCTGTTGAGTCATTCATATGAATATTTATGTACTTACATATCTATTGCTTTCACCTGAGGTGTCTATTAAATAGTATTAAACCATTTTTTTGTTTTCAGACTTCCAGAATTAAACTTGGAGGTGTGGTTCTGAGAAATACACAGCATTCATATTGATAAGTTCTTGCCAGGAATATAAATGCATGAAACAATTGTCTTCAAAGCAAGTACTATTTACTTCTCTAAGAATCAGAGGAAAGTTGTGTTTTGGTGAAGCGTTGACAGGTTGTGGACTAGTCCCCTTTGTATTCTGTTTGGCATCAAGGACACAGTTAATTAGCAGTGGCAATCAACCAGAGCCATGACTTCAAGCAGCTGCAAAAGAAACATCAGCAGTTGTCTCAGGTGAGATCAGAGGAGAGGTGTTAACCTGAGACCAGCTACAATGGTGTAAAGAGATGCTGTAGCAGCTGTTCTAAAACCCACACAACTCCATCTTTCAGCCCTGGCTGTGTCAGGGCCAATTGTATCATGATCCTGGATAACAGATTCTGCCTTTGTAATGAGTTTGGAAGTAACTGGAATAAGTACCCAGTAACCTGTGTGGTTGCTCAGTAGTGTTGATGCCTCAGTGGTGATGGCAGAGAATCCTGGTGTGCTTACAGCCCTAACCACTGAAAAGGACCTTAAAACAAAATGAGATATATCCTGCCCCTTCCAGTTTTCTCTTAAGGCACAGGCTTTAATCATATAGAAATAATTGCAAAAACTGATTTGAGCTGTTGGTTGGACAGTAGTATTTTACCATATTTAACCGAAAAGTTTGAGCACCTGAAGTAGTACGTGGGTTTTTGGTACTGTGCATTATTGGGATGCAGGATGGAAGCCAGGTCCCAGAAGCCTCAGTGACAAAGCTCCTTTTCCCTGCAGGATATTACCCTGAGCACAGAGCAGAGGTCTGGGCTGTAGAATCCGAGATACAAGATAGATCCTGAAGCACCCTGGTCTGGAGCTAAAGCAAAGCAGGTACTTGTCTCACGTTAGGGGAAATGTCGCGTGTGCTTTCCCAGCCCAAACGGTGTCCTCATGGTTCTGTGTGAATGGAATGGATTTCTGTTTGAACATGACAGCAGAATAGACTGACATAAGGGGGTAACAGTGTCACTGATTCACAGAGACTGGTCTGATCAGCATATTTTTTCACTTAAAAAGCTATCCTGGAAGATCTCTGCTAGCATTTGATATGATATGTGTTTGTCTTTAAATGCACTTGGAAGTGCTTCTGTGACTCAGTAGCACAATTTTCTGTCTCTGATCCTAAGTGTAATTGTCTAAGATGTTTCTCTCTCCTGTCAACATTACAGACAGCGTCAGGTGGAGTGGTCTTTAAGAATGTAAATTGTTCAGGTTTTCTGTGTATTTTGAGAATAAACATGCCCTAAGGTTTGAGGCTGCGAAATAATTTGGATGCTGCCTGTTGTGACATGTAAAAGATAAGTGCAGTGCTACTCTGCTGTTACCAAAGGCCCTTTGCACATGGCTGCATTTCACTGTGCCCCACAGTGGGTGAAGTCATGGTAGAACAAAGCAAATAGCACTGAGGTGCCCCCAACTATTTCTGTATTCACTGCCTACCCTCATTGATGTCAGTGGGATTCCTGCCATTAATTTCAGCAGTAGGAGGATATATAACCCTTAGTGAGGCATAAAGTGCAATTGCCCTATAATTAGAGTTAACCTTATCATAAAAAATCATCAAAAATCATTTCTTTAACAGAAATGGCCTTCTAAATAACAGGAAGCAAGTGTCTAGATTCAGGCAAGCTCTTGAAACACATGCACCAAGCATGTGACAAAATTCCACTGACAGAAGGCAACCACATATTTAGGGTCTCAGACCTCCAAATTTGTGATTCCAGTGACATGTTCTTTGTTTTAAAGGAGCTGTTTGGCAATGTATGTTTATGATCAGGCAGGAGTCTTTCCAGCTGGGACCTTACAGGCACAATTTGAAGAGC